CGCTAGGTCATGCCTGCGGTACAATTTCAGGGGGTGGTCATCTGGGGAGTGGCTATGGTAATTAAGTTGAACTACCATATCATCGAGGCGGGGATGGCGTAGTGACAAGTAGCGCCCTTACCACTCGGCGTTTTGGTTCGAATCCCAGGTCGACACCCGCCCAGGCCAACCAAGCCTTCTACCCTCCGGGGACGGTAAATTGGTACCAGATTCGTCTGGGAGGATAAAACACTGACTTGTACATCGGCTGGCCACCGCAAGTTCATAGGCCGCATTCAATAAGCCACTACGATTCTGAATGGAAGTAGAATGCGTGCCGCATCCCACAAAGGGATTGATTAACGGCGAAGACTTTATCCTTTATCCTGTTACATTCACTCTTATATGTTACTCCTATAAGATGAACTATTTCAGTGGTTGTGAATCCACAACGGAAAGTAGCTTCGTAGAAGACAATCATACATGTATTGATCTCTCTGGTCACTTGATGGCGGCGATGACAGGAGTTCCTTCCAGACTGTTGGGTTGGCCCATAAGTGATGGGCGTTTTTTATTTTCATTTTTACAAGTTTCGAAATAAAAAGAAGAATAGTATCCAATATGTTCCAGGCAATTCGATAGATAATTTTCCGCTCTATATTATATTATATGGAGCGAAAAATTATCTATCTGTATGTATATTTGCCTTAGCTATTTCTTGATTCTGTCCATTTTTTATTTCATTGAAATTAGTGTTAGTCGACACAAAAGAGAGTTTTTGACAACACTTCCTTATCTCGACTCTCAAATCAGGGTTGATCCGTGAGCTTCGTGGATATCGTGGAAGCCGGAGCTATCGTGGAGCCGTACACCAGTCGCTCCTCCGTCCCTCGGCTCCCCTCGCGCTCGCTGAAATCAAAACGTCACTCGCGGCCATCGAACGAGCAGGCTACAGTGTTACCAGATCAGCTGCATTCCCCTGGACGTACAAAACGTGCATCGCATGGAGTGCCCTCTTGGGGAGCGACTGCCTGCAGAACCTACCCACTAATTTTTGAACGTCTAACATCAACTGAGGGTGATGCTTGATTATGATAAGGAAGCATTCCATCACTTCTTAACGATTGCCCATCGGTTGAATTCCCGTAATAAGGTGAATCAGTAAGCTCTCAGTTGGACTACGTAGGGCACTAGGTCTGATGTTGGTCTGTGAAGTCGAAATTGACATACTCCCATAACTCAAACCATTGCAAGCACTTCTAAGAGACATAGCTTTTCGCTAATATAAGAAACAACGAGGTATGTGCGGTTTCAGCTTCCTGTTGAGGTAAAAAGGAGATGCTGTCGAAAATGCTCACTTTCGTCGACCTGATGCTTCAGTTTGAGCACTTAGATAACGTTGGAAACAGGAAAAAATTCCTTGCTCTATACGACAGTCCCCTTAGTTTTCTCTTCGAGAGAAAACTAAGGGGACTGTCGTATAGAGCAAGGAATCCTCTGAAAACGCTATAGAACTGACTGGCAAAACTTTTCAGGTTTTGCACAATTTTTCGAATAAGAATGTAACGCCACTACTTATGGGCCAACCCAATAAAAGAGGAGCTTCAGTCACTTTTGAGGATGTGGAGCTCCCGATAGAGAAGGTAAATTAAAAATTCTCATTGTCTAGTCATGGACTTCACTTTTGTACAATTCCACAGCACAGTGTGCGTTTGGTTTATGTGAATGAAGCCACCGATCAAAAGCGATTAAAAACCAAAGAAAGAAAAAGAAAAGCAAAGAAAAGCCGCTCATTTTCATGCATGAAGCAGGTTGTGCTTTTTGCTACAGACTACCACTTGCGGGATTCAGAGGAAATAGTGAAACAAAGTGGGAACTCGAGTAGTTCACCTTGAAAGCTTTCATAAATTCTTGTTATGTGTCAGTACGCCATTTTGTATTTGGATATCTTATGTGCTCGCCTTAATGTTTCGCGCTACCTACAACAATATCTGCTTCAAATGAAGCTGCCACCACTTGGCAAGAGATCGTTTGCAGGGGATGTTATGTGTTTCCAAGGGATAAATCTCGCTCCATCATTACAGCTCGCCGCACAGTTCGGCGATGGGAGGGGGGGGGATTTTGCACTTTCCTTCCCATCGATATCGACCTATCTAGACAGCCTATTTTCGAAATGACAGGTTCTACCATAATGGCTTGACGACATTACTCCAGCTTCACAAGAGTTCACAGGTTTCACCAGAGTGAAACTGGTAAACCGGAACTAGTGAAGCAATGAAGGTATAAATGCGCCCCCCCCTCCTCATGCCGTCTTAACTGCGCCCCAGCACGCTTAGCACCGCAGAAATTATGCAGATACATCGACACTGTCGTATCTGTCTAATGTCTGTGGTTGCGTACCATGTGGAGGGGGAGGGGTGTATGAACACTTATAGCTCCGATACTCTCTGGTATAGGTACCATGTTTGAACTATTGTTAAAACACCAACAGGGTTGGTAATTATCAGTGTCCGTAATGTGGCGGTAAAGTACAACAGTAGATACATATGAATAGCTTATGTACATCTTACATGCTCGACATGAATAGGAAGTAGTCATTGTTTGTATGACTATTATAGCAATTGAAGCTTATTTTCATGAGTGAGATAATCTCTACATTACAAGTATCTTACACTGTGTATTATTATCTACATTTACCATGTATAGTTTATGTACATTGTGTGCGTGATGATGTCAGTAATGAGATCCACATTTTGATGTGCGAACCAATGTCCAGTGATTTCATACAACGATTATGCATTGGAAATGTGACGAATGTGAATATGTTAACAACATAAGAGATGTCCTAGTTATAGTGTTAAGGCATAATGAACAGCGGAATTAAGGAACTAGGAACATACATAGTGACCATACTAGTTAAATAGAGGGAGGAAGAGAAGATGGGAGAGGTTTGGGTGCTACATAGTTCTGGAACCCTCCCAGCGTCCTCCAGCGCCCAGCTTGCATCACATCAGTTTGAGTGAGCTTCGCATACTGAGACGCTTATGGGCAGGCCCCCCCCCCCTATGAAAGAGTGAGATGTTGTATTAGCATGTCCAAGATAGGCTTTATAGCATGAGCCTGTCCCGCAAGGTTGAGATGGCCAAAGGCAACCCCGTGGAGCCGGACTGAAAGAGAAAAGACGCCCCACCCAAGGTAGCAGTGTACTTATTCCAGAGCGCTTCCTCCATTGCATTAAAGCGAAAAGCTACCACTGCACCCTTAGAGCACTGGTCCGTCTTGGATCTGCTTATATGCACAAGCCATTCCCCATTGCCATTGGGCTTAACCTGGGACCTGCGCAAATTTTGAGCCTCGCTGATCCTGAGTAGCCCTTTGAACTGAATGAGTGCCAAAGCAGCGGCTTGAGTAACTTTGGGGTCCTTGGTAGAGATACCTACGCCTAATAACCGTGCCATGTGACTGGGCTGAATCTTAGTACGATGCTGACGCGGGGGTGAATGGCGCCTAACCGCCTGAAGAAGGGAGTCCTGGATTTCTTTGTCTACACCTGTGAGCGGCCCACAGAAGTAGTTGAGCGCTGCTACGACGGTCGGCATGGAACTTAGCAAAAGGTTCCTGGCTTGTGGCATAGGAATGCTGCGCATGTATGGGCTGCTTTTCCAGTTTTTGAATCTCTCCACTTCAGACGTGTAAGCTTTGATCGTAGAAGGAGCTCTGTCCGAATTGATAGCGTTTATTATGGCTTCGCTGATATGAGGCATTCCCATTTGTTCTGCTCTCACCCCCAGAGAAGCTGCTTCGTTGAACCGCCGGGCTGCAAAGAAAAATTTTTGATTTGGAAGAAAAAGGGGCGGGCGGTGGGCACACCGCTCACGGTCAACGCAATAGCCTGGAATGACCATCCCAGGCTACCAGGGATCACATGCCATCTGACCCAGGACCACGCCCTTGCGAAATAGCGTGGTCCCATGGTGCATTGGGACACCATGTGATCCCTGGCACACTGTACAGTAACTATTTCGCAATAGTTCAAAATATCACTTATACCTCCGATACTCTCTGGTATAAATACCATTTTGAACTATTGTTCAGAACCAACCAACAGGGTTGGAACTGCAAAGCCGGGGACCAGCCTCCACGTGCCGGAATAGGCTCCTTGTGCGTGAAATCGATAAACAGAAACACGAAAGGCGATAACGAAAGCTCGGACCCGAACGCACCCGGTAAT